GGTGTGTGTGTGTGTGTGCATGTGCGTGTGCGTGTATTTCTTGTAGTGTTCTTGTGTATAATCAAATATTATTGAAACACGATTCTCTTCAAAATGTACCAATAACAACACCTCTGTTGTGGCTCCTGCGCAAGATTTTAAGATCAACAATCGTCTATCAATAAAGACACAAACAATAATCAACCTGGTTTGCACAGATTTTTTAAAATATAGTTTAAGAGCACTTTACTTTGAGGAACCAGGGTTAGATTTTAGGACTACAACAAATCTTACAACATTAATCATGAGTGCACAATTAGATGTTAAACTAACTAAATAAAGAAGGATAATTAAAATAGTAAATAATAAATAATGAAAATATGTATAAATTGTAAAAATATATATTTTTAGTGAAATGTTTAATTTAATGTTTATAGATATTGTAATGAAATATAAACAAACAATATAAAGAGTATATAGTACATATAGCAGTATGCTAGCATTATCTATAGTCTTTAGAGGTGAGTTAAAGTGTGCATGTGTGTCCTGAGCCCTGGTCCTCACCCTCATGCCTCTGCAGGTCCTCCTCACTCATGGGGTCTTTGATGGACATGTTGGTGAGGAGGCTTTTGTTCTCCTCCTGCAGCTGAGAGATCTGACAGAGGAGGTCCTGAGCTTCTCCTCTCCACACGTCCTCCACCAGCTCCAGCTCCTACACATATGCATCAACATAAAAACACGAATTACAAGATTTAACATTATCTTTTCTTTCTGACAATGCCTACTATATGGCAGTTTAGTTTAGCCTTTTTTTGTGCCTCTACAATTCTCTGACAACATGAGTTCAAAGATATCCTGAAGGATTAAGTGTAGGGCTGGGAATCTTTGGGTGTCTCACGATTCGATTCAAATTTCGATTCTTGGGGGGGGGGGTCACGATTTGATTGAGAATCTAAATTATTTTCAATTCAGAATGATTCTGGCTTCATGATTCAGAGTCTATTTCTGAATGAGTACATACTTCAGGACCTACTCCAGTTAACGTGAGACTGGCTGAATTTCTTGCTGCTCCATTTGGCATTCCACTGAATTAAAGAGCTAGCCTTAGCACTTAGCAGGGAGCGACTGATTAATCAATCGAATTTTTTGAAGTTATGAATCTATTTGAAATCTCAGGAGGTAAGAATCTCGACTTTTACATCAATCGATTTTTTCCCCCACCTCTACTTAAGTGTTCTTCAATGGGTTGACCAATTAATCTACTCAGCTATTCATTGAGGTTGAGAACAACCTGAAACAGCTTCAGCAGTGAAATACTAAACATAAAGCAGAATTAATATAAATCCAGACACATCATGTATAATAGTAAAACACAGACAGGGACCATCTTAACGTACGTAATATTAGAACATTCTTTAAGATATTCAGGATCCCAGAGGATAACATTTATGGACTTCAGCAGAATGGTGTCTGAATAGAAACTCCTGCATTTGTTTTGAATCTCTTCTGATTTATTTAGGGTTTCCCTTGAATATGCCATATTTGTATGAGTAGAGGCGCTTGATTATGCTTTGAAACGGTCTCACACATAAACACATTCCATGCAGTAACAGAAAAACAAGTCCGTTTTACATGGACAATATCACACGATTTTGTCTAATCAGCAGTCCAAACTTTTAGATTACTTGAATTTTCTTAAATTTGAGAGAAAATGAATAAGCAAAGGATCACAGACTGGAACTTCTAGACTTTTCAGGACTTTAAGTTTGAACAAAAATTAAACAAACTATTTTATTGTACTTAAACAAACAACTTTGATTCTGTTTATTTGTTTATGTTATACTAATCGTACATTTCTTGTGTCCAAATTAAAAAGATTTAAAATTAATTATAGCTTTCCGGAAAAAAAGGAGTCGAGTAAAGAAGTAGTAGTGTAGTAAGAAATAGGATAAGTAGGTAGTTCATTGTTATTTTAGCGACACATGTTGACAGTTGATGGAAAATGGGTCCCTGACTCAGAAGGGAAATGTTTCTCATCTCACACTCGAGCTATATTTGTCGTATGTGTGTTTATTTTCCAATTAGTCATAAGACTAATGGGAAGGATACAAGATTACATAATCGGAAGTCGGGACTAAATGAAACCTGCATCCTGACACCGAGTAAGACATCACAGAGTGAGAGCTCAAAGGTAACAGAATTCATTTTAGTGTTTACTTTCGTTCTGTTTATTACACTTGCAATAATGGCAAACTATTTGAATTCAAATGTTTATGCAGTGGAGAAAGGACCTTGTTTTAGTTCACAGAGAACTTGATTTGAATTAAAAGAGGCCAGGAGAAAGTCAAATACACAAAGTCGCCCAAAAAACTTACGTGAAAAGGCTTGTTCCAAAGATGTAGAAAAACTTAGTTCAGAATTACACCTGCAGAGCATACAGACGCTACCTGCAACACTCCCACTAGTGCAGAGAATGAGTGCAGATCGTCCACTAGTTATTGATCTTAAATGGCGACTAAACAGTAAAAACAACAGTTTAGCTAATATGCTTATATGTTTGTTAAGACAACACTGTAAGTGACAAATACAGTCTATATGTGGGAAACACAGTCATTGATTATTTATGTCAATTGTCATTTCATGTTGGAAAATTTATGTCAATTGTCATTTCATGTTGGAAAATTCCGGACGAATCTGGAAGAATCACATCCCTGCACCAACAGCACAAATTAGCTAGGAAGGCCCAGAATGCAGCATTTTACTGTTGTCGATGCTTCAGTTAAGCCTAGATTGAAATATTACAGTTTAGTTCAGAGATTCACAACCTAGGGCTCGGGCTAAACATCTCCTGATAAATCTAAGACGTTTTACAACGATGATACAACAGAAAAAGCAAAAATGTTGTGCTGCAAAAAAGTTGAATTTATTGTAAGGACTTCATCTCTCGTCTTTGCTGTTTATATTTTTTTAAATACATACATTACCTATTACAAAATATAAAAAACACAAAAAATATCCTCAATTTGACAACGAGCTGCACCTACAGACTGAGACAAGACAATTAGATTATGAACCACTGATTTCATCTTTAACATTATATACATTTTCATAACTTACTAACAATTTTTTTTTTTTTACACATGATCTTTATTTCAGTAGTAAAAGCTGTCAGCTCAATGAAGTGGAGTACAGTTAAAAGGTATCATGTGATTTCAATTTTGAGTTCAGGAACATACTTTTACATGATCTTCAGTGTACTAAGACGCTGACCAGATCACTTTAAACTCACAACACTATATAGTATTGTTGTCAGTCATTTTAAAGCTCAGGCTCAGTTTGCTCAGCGGCTATAAAAGTTTACGTGTGAGTTTCTCGTGACGGTGACTGAGCGGTGGTGAACACTGATTAACTGTGTCTCATGAGTGTGCGATGGATTTTTCTGCTCTGGCTTAGAGAGAGCTCAGTCAGGTCACCACATTTTCACATGAAAAATGTCACATCTGCAGCTCAAACTTTCCAACATAGAAGTCTGCGTATGAGTCATTTCAAGTTTTGCTTCTTCCCTTAGTATTTGTGTGCATTGTTTTATGATTGAAAGGTTTTACTTTTAACATACAAACAATGCATTGGTGTACACTGCTTGAAAGGCAGAGTTTAAATAAAAGATTGTATAAATTAAATAAAAAATGAAGGAGATGAAAAAGAAAATGTGCATATTGTGGTACATCATTAGTTAAAGTGCAACAGCCAGAACTGGAAAAAGTACTCAATTCTTTTACTTTGAAGAAAAGCATAAAAACAGTAGTTTTGAATTCTCTTATACGAGTTCCTCAAGTACAAGAGAATTACTATTACCTGCAAGATGTTTGACAAAAAAAAAGTGCTTGCTATGCGAAATTGCTCCTTAAAATGGGGCTATATGTAACTTTTTACATGTAAAAATCGTGTTTCATCGCCCATTAATAAGCGAACGGTTAACTGATGTGAAAAAGTAGATGTTCACTGTCTATCTGTGTTGCCTGTATAAAAAGTTCCCCCGGGTCGTATTTTCCGAGAAAGCTCCAGGAAGTGACATTTTATGCACGTTCTCAACATCCTCCTCACTCCGCTCCGCTTACAGAGATCAACAGTACAAACTCATCACACACTCCCGATATAGCCAGAGGCCGCCTTCCACACACTTCTATCCGCTCTAAGAGCTCTCAAAGGCGGACAAACTCATCACACACTCCCGGTCTTCACCTCCACGATGATGATGCTCGTTTGTGTACGTACGAGCACGTATGACGAGCACGTATGACGAGCACGCGAGGGAGAGCGAGCAACAGGTTACTGGTGCAGTTCGCCAAACGGCCATGCGGTATCACTACAAACGCAGTTACATATAGCCCCTTTAAAGAGCATTACAATCTGGTCCCATAAGATTATTCATCTCTATTTATCTATGAACACAATATAATAGTTACAATACATACAAGAGATAGTAGCAGAAGGAGTTGCAGTGAAAATTACAGTAATACCAGTCCATGTACACGATGCCCTTACATACCTTAAATGGGACATATTATGAAAAAGACACTTTTACAGTGTTTTTGAACATATATTTTGGTAACCTGAGTGTCTACAACATGTGAAATGAATCCATCCAGTCCTTTGTTTGTGATCTGCACAAGTCTTACAACACAGAGATAAGTGCTGCGTTTCATCACAAGTGGGATTCTTGTAAAAATACCCTCCCCCATGGACTCCACCCTCAGCCTAGAGCAAAACTTTTGCGCAGGTTCGCCAGTTTTATTCTCGCTACGGAGGAGTGATGTCTACCGGGAAAACTCAGGGGGGACTCATTGCATTTAAAGAGACACACACACAAAAACGGAGCGTTCTGAGAGAGCTGCTTTATACAGGGTCACAAACCTCCTCTGGTGCTTTATTCATGTTATATTTTGACCAAAGCACAGCACAGATGTTTCATTAAGACCACAGGGGACTGTTTGAAAAGGTGGAAAAGGGGTATAATGTGTCCTCTTTAAATCCTAAGGCTGGTCTAATCAACAACATAACTAAAAATCAATGAGAAGCTTTTAACCTCTGTATCAAGTATTCTGAGCTGATCAAATGAATTACACATGAAAATCAACCAAACTTAAGCAGTATAATATTGCAGTGAAGTGTAAAGTCCGATATAGGGTGGCTGTTTAAAGTAGATGTATTTACTGTAACTACAGTCCTTGAGTATATGTACTCGAGTAAATTTCCCAGCTAGTCATTTCAGTCCTTTTAAGATGTATAACTTTTGTTACAATTTCAAAGCAGAACTTCTACTTGTATTGTAGTATTCAACACTGATGTTGACACCCAATTGGAATACTTCTCTGATTTAATCACAGCAACTTGGGGGCCTTCTGTTACTCCGTTTGATTGTTCCTTAAAAGGCAAACCACTTGTCAACAACAAATGTTCATCGAAATCTTCAGCTTTAATGTTTTGTGAAAGATTTCAGGCAGGGCTGGGAAGTTGAATCGAAAAATTAATCGAAACCGATATTCCCACTCTCATTAGAAAACATATCCCTGCTTTAATAGTTGAATTTATTAACAGTAGAGAACTTCTCAGTGAACTGTGAGGGCAAAAAAACAAAAACTAAATAATCGTTCATTAATCATTATCGAGGTAAAATGTTCGATTAATCATGATATTGATTTGAGGTCATATCGCACTGCCCTAATTTCATGTAAGAAACACATATCTATCTTTTAAGGAAACTGCAATCCTACTCTTTCACAAGAAATAATAATATGTATACATTTTTCAATTCAAAGTAGCCTACAAACAGTATTGCTGGAGATGGAACTAATTTCTAGTTGCCTATAAAGTATAGTCAAACCCAAAGCAAATTTACATTTACCAGATTTTGCCTAAAATCTTAATTTGGCTAGTGAATTTAATCAAGCTGTCACATCAATGTTATGAGGTAAAAAGTGCAACAAATGAACTGTGTAAATAATGCAACTGAAGTGCATAATAAAGTAAATATAACAGTGCACATTAGTTGATTGCTTGTGAGGTGACACACCTTCCTGTGCTTCTTCTCCTTCTCCAGCCGGTCTATCCGCTCCAGCCGCAGCTTGTCCAGCTCCAGCCGCAGCTCCTCGGTCTCCGGGCTGATGTTGTTGCGGCTCACCATCACCTCCAGGATCTCCAACACCCGCACCACTTTGGGCATCAGCCGGGACAGAGCCTCGCAGCCGTACTGGTCGATGATACGCTCGAACTCCTGGCCTACCACCGCGGCGATGTCGTACACGTCCATCACCGTGAGGTCGGCCACATTTTTCTCCAGGGCCGAGCCGGAGTCCTCCATGTCGGGATAGTTCGGCCCTGCCCGGCTTCCTATTATGTTTCCTCCGCCACAGCAAAACTTCCTTCCCCTTGGAAGAGCAATTCTGCTAAGTTAGCTGAACTCAGCCGCTTTACCTTCATAAACTAGAAACGAATGCGCCATAAATCAACGTGAAACACCGTAATTATCACTTAATCATCACTAACATTTGAGACCGGGCGATAGTTTTATTTATCCGAGATAGATATTGGCCGTGGCCCATCGCTGTCCTGCCCCGTTCTGTCCCTCTACGAGCTGCTGGTGACCACAGCTGTCAAGGCCGCCATGTTGAAACTGCGTACATCCGGCTTCAGGTTTCAAAATAATAATTACATTTATGTCTAACTACAGTCTAGGATTTACTTTAAGAAAATGCAAAAACTGATAGCTGAAATACATGCAAAACACTGCGAGGAAGGGATAGAATGAGGAATAATAGCAGCAGCAACAACAACAACAATAACAATAATAATAATTATTATTTTAATTATCAGTTCAGTTCAGATCTTTATTGTCCCTGGAAGGGAAATTTGATTTGCAGCAGTGGACACAAAAACACAACAGATAAACAGACAAAGGACAGTGCAACACGACCTGATGAAATACAACCAAGAAATATAAAATATAAAAACTCACTGTTCGTTCAGAAGTTTCACTCAAATGGTATAAATAAATAAATATAAAGTGCAATAGCTCTGCTTAAAAGTGCAGTCAATGATTTAAAGAAGATTAAGAGCATTAATTGCATGAGGAACATGTGAAAATTAAAATCTGTTTGCCTTAGCCCTGGGCAGCCTGTACCTCCGACCTGAGGGGAGAAGAACAAATTCCTCTAAGAGAGGATGGTCATTATAATAACACGAAGAAGAAGTAGGCTAGAAAACGTTTTATTGGAAGATAAATAAGCAGAAGAGAAGGAAGAAGGCTGACACACTGGATTTAAGATTGTTGTGGAGATCTTAAAACTGATGACATTTTCTTTAAAAGAGCTGAATTAAAGTAAAAAAGAATACAAGAAGAATAGAATGAGTAGAAGATAGGAGGAGACAGAAGGAAGAGAAGGGGGAAGATGAGGAGAACAGAGGAAGAGGGCTACCACCACTACGTCTCACTTGCCTCCTTAGACTTAAACTTAGAAAACTTTATTTATCCCAGAGGGCAAGTCGGTAACACAGTCCACCCAGACCATTTTTTCATGAAAATTTTGGTCAACATTTTTTCATGAAAATTTGACAGGACAGGGTTCAACGTTTTTATTAAATAATGGACGGGACAAGGTCCCCGGTCTAGTGAAGCATTTATTTTTAGAGCTCCCCCTACTGACTGGCTGCAGTATAGGTCATAAACCATGAAAACATTTTTCATGAACATTTTCAACAGGTCCGGGGTCAACATTTTTTCATGAAAATTTTGGTCAACATTTTTTCATGAAAATTTTGGTCAACATTTTTTCATGAAAATTCGACAGGACAGGGTTCAACGTTTTTATTAAACATTTTTGACAGGTCTGGGGTCAACATTTTTTCATGAAAATTTTGGTCAACATTTTTTCATGAAAATTCACGACAGGTCTGGGGTCAACATTTATTCATGAAAATTTTGGTCAACATTTATTCATGAAAATTTTCGACAGGTCCGGGGTCAACATTTTTTCATGAAAATTTTGGTCAACATTTTTTCATGAAAATTCGACAGGTCCGGGGTCAACATTTATTCATGAAAATTTTCGACAGGTCCGGGGTCAACATTTTTTCATGAAAATTTTGGTCAACATTTTTTCATGAAAATTCGACAGGTCCGGGGTCAACATTTATTCATGAAAATTTTCGACAGGTCCGGGGTCAACATTTTTTCATGAAAATTTTGGTCAACATTTTTTCATGAAAATTTTGGTCAACATTTTTTCATGAAAATTTTGGTCAACATTTTTTCATGAAAATTCGACAGGACAGGGTTCAACGTTTTTATTAAACATTTTTGACAGGTCTGGGGTCAACATTTTTTCATGAAAATTTTGGTCAACATTTTTTCATGAAAATTCGACAGGACAGGGTTCAACGTTTTTATTAAACATTTTTGACAGGTCTGGGGTCAACATTTTTTTATGAAAATCTTGGTCAACATTTTTTCATGAAAATTTTCGACAGGTCCGGGGTCAACATTTTTTCATGAAATTTTTGGTCAACATTTTTCCATGAAAATTTTCGACAGGTCCGGGGTCAACATTTTTTCATGAAAATTTTGGTCAACATTTTTTCATGAAAATTCGACAGGACAGGGTTCAACGTTTTTATTAAAAATTTTCGACAGGTCCGGGGTCAACATTTTTTCATGAAAAGTTTGGTCAACATTTTTTCATGAAAATTCGACAAGACAGGGTTCAATGTTTTTATTAAACATTTTTGACAGGTCTGGGGTCAACATTTTTTCATGAAAATTTTGGTCAACATTTTTTCATGAACATTTTCGACAGGTCCGGGGTCAACATATTTTCATGAAAATTCGACAGGACAGGGTTCAACGTTTTTATTAAACATTTTTGACAGGTCTGGGGTCAACATTTTTTTATGAAATTTTTGGTCAACATTTTTCCATGAAAATTTTCGACAGGTCCGGGGTCAACATTTTTTCATGAAAATTTTGGTCAACATTTTTTCATGAAAATTCGACAGGACAGGGTTCAGCGTTTTTATTAAACATGTTTGACAGGTCTGGGGTCAACATTTTTTCATGAAAATTTTCGACAACATTTTTTCATGAAAATTCGACAGGACAGGGTTCAACGTTTTTATTAAACATTTTTGACAGGTCTGGGGTCAACATTTTTTCATGAAAAGTTTGGTCAACATTTTTTCATGAAAATTCGACAAGACGGGGTTCAACGTTTTTATTAAACATTTTCGACAGGTCCGGGATCAACATTTTTTCATGAAAATTTTCGACAGGTCCGGGGTCAACATTTTTTCATGAAAATTCGACAGGACAGGGTTCAACGTTTTTATTAAACATTTTTGACAGGTCTGGGGTCAACATTTTTTCATGAAAATTTTGGTCAACATTTTTTCATGAAAATTCGACAGGACAGGGTCCAACGTTTTTATTAAACATTTTTGACAGGTCTGGGGTCAACATTTTTTCATGAAAATTTTCGACAGGTCCGGGGTCAACATTTTTTCATGAAAATTTTGGTCAACATTTTTTCATGAAAATTCGACAGGACAGGGTTCAACGTTTTTATTAAACATTTTTGACAGGTCTGGGGTCAACATTTTTTCATGAAAAGTTTGGTCAACATTATTTCATGAAAATTCGACAAGACGGGGTTCAATGTTTTTATTAAACATTTTCGACAGGTCTGGGATCAACATTTTTTCATGAAAATTTTCGACAGGTCCGGGGTCAACATTTTTTCATGAAAATTCGAGAAGACAGGGTTCAACGTTTTTATTAAACATTTTTGACAGGTCCAGGGTCAACATTTTTTCATGAAAATTTTGGTCAACATTTTTTCATGAAAATTCGACAGGACAGGGTTCAACGTTTTCATTGAACATTTTTGATGTACATTTTTAAATGTTTAATAAAAACGTTGAACCCTGTCCTGTCGAATTTTCATGAAAAAATGTTGACCAAAATTTTCATGAAAAAATGTTGACCCCGGACCTGTCGAAAATTTTCATGAAAAAATGTTGACCAAAATCTTCATGAAAAAATGTTGACCTGTCGAAAATTGTTGACCCCAGTCCTGTCAAACATGTTTAATAAAAACGTTGAACCCTGTCCTGTCGAATTTTCATGAAAAAATGTTGACCAAAATTTTCATGAAAAATATGTTGACCCCAGACCTGTCAAAATGTTTAAAAAAAACGTTGAACCCTGTCCTGTCGAATTTTCATGAAAAAATGTTGACCCGGACTGTCGAAAATGTTCATGAAAAAATGTTGACCAAAATTTCATGAAAAATGTTGACCCAGATCCTGTCAAAAATGTTCATAAAAACGTTGAACCCGACTCTGTCCGAATTTTCATTGAAAAAATGTTGACCAAACTTTTCATGAAAAAATTTGACCCCAGACCTGTCAAAAATGTTTAATAAAAACGTTGAACCCTGTCTTGTCGAATTTATCATGAAAAAATGTTGACCAAACTTTTCATGAAAAAAAATGTTGACCCCAGACCTGTCAAAAATGTTTAATAAAAACGTTGAACCCTGTCCTGTCGAATTTCATGAAAAATGTTGACCAACACTTTCATGAAAAAATGTTGACCCCGGACCTGTCGAAAATTTCAAAAAATGTTGACCAAAATTTTCATGAAAAAATGTTACCCCGGACCTGTCGAAAATTTTCATGAAAAAATGTTGACCAAAAGTTTTCATGAAAAATGTTGACCCCAACCTGTCAAAAATGTTTAATAAAAACGTTGAACCCCGGTCCTGTCGAATTTTCATGAAAAAAATGTGACCAAAATTTTCATGAAAAAAATGTTGACCCCAGACCTGTCAAAAATGTTTAATAAAAACGTTGAACCCTGTCCTGTCGAAAATTTTCATGAAAAAATGTTGACCAAAATTTTCATGAAAAAATGTTGACCCCGGACCTGTCGAAAATTTCATGAAAAATGTTGACCCCAGACTGTCAAAAATGTTTAATAAAAACGTTGAACCCTGTCCTGTCAATTTTCATGAAAAAATGTTGACCAAAACTTTTCATGAAAAAATGTTGACCCCGGACCTGTCGAAAATTTTCATGAAAAAATGTTGACCAAATTTCATGAAAAAAACGTTGACCCCAGACCTGTCAAAATGTTAATGAAAACGTAACCCTGTCTTGTCGAATTTTCAAAAAAATGTTGACCAAACTTTTCATGAAAAAATGTGACCAAAATTTTCATGAAAAAATGTTGACCCCAGACCTGTCAAAAATGTTTAATAAAAACGTT